AAGTGTACCTCTGGTGCAAATTACTGACCTCTGTCATCATTTTAGGTGGGGGAACTTGCACAATCGGTGGCTGACTAAATACTTTTTTGCCCCACTGTACCTCGAATCTGTCAGGTTTGCTAGATATAGAACTGTTACTTCTTTATCCGAAGAGAAAAAAAGTGCAAATTTTATGTAGATCCATTATAACAAGATGTATACCAGTTGTGGTCATTTAAACTTGAGCCAGGATTTGTTGATTTAAAAATCATATCCTCATATATTGAACAATATTTTCTTTCCTTTCAGATACACAAAATAGAAACAGATTTCTATAATATTTGTTATGTGTAGTTATTTATTCACTCATTTATGTTCTGCTTGACTCTGGGTCTGCTGGTTTTTGTGTTTGTGGCTTCCAAACAGGTGTGTTGGGAACAGGTAAGTTGCACAGTGTCCTCTGGCAGACAAATGATTATGTTAACATGCATAAGGAGGTTGAATGGCGTTTCTCCCCTCCTTTTATTTCCTACACAAGCAGACAATAATTAATAAAATTTCAATGAATCTCTTTTTTCACATCCAATTATTGGTGCTGGTAAAGTGTTTGCAGATTAGAAGCTGTGTCACAGTGTAATACAGTGTGTCAATAGATATTGCATCTTTACTTTTCCTAGGCCACAGAGCAGTGTACGTGGGTGTCCATGTTCCTCTTGGGAGGGAGAGTAAGCGGAGGCATCGCCACAGAGGACACAAGCAAAGAAAGAAGAAGAATAGAGATTCCGAGGAGGGGAAAGAAGATGGCAGGGATTCTCCTACTTATGGTTGGCGACTATTTTGAACTTAATTGCAATTTCATCCATATCACATGCCTTTTTTTTTTTAAACGTTTCTTTCTCTAGTCTGCTCTGTTTTCTTATATCCCATCCCACAGTATTGTAGCTTGCAGCTAGTGTGTACCTTTGAACCTTACCTTATCTATTACCGCACACTAATGGGCTTCCTTCACATATTAAATAGAATCTCCTATAATCTAGAATAGGTAGAATCTTTTAATTAAATGAATGAAAAACTCCACATAAAATCTTTAAGTAAAGCATCCACAAAAAGCTTAAGTTAAAAAAAATGTAGCCACTGTGGGCAATTAGATAATTACTTTTGTTTAACCCTCTGATTTTCTCCATACGTCAAACAGTGCAGCTCTAAAAGGCATTAAAGGCCGCTGTGAACGGCCTCTGACAGACTGAAGGCTCCGGCATTTTAAGTGATGTGCGTACGCATTTGTGATTGAAGTTGCTGCGTCATTCCAGCTGTAAGACTCGTAAGCAACCAAGCAGTACTTTGAACTCGATGAAAGACTGAATCGAGCCTTGTAACAGTGCAACTAACAAAAGATACTTTTATTTTTAAAGCACGGTTTTATCATTTAAAGTGTCAATATTCTGAGGTAGACTTTTTTGGGATAGGACTAAAAATGTGTTTTATAAAAACAGTTTATCACAGTGATACAGAGATGACAAACGAAAACACTTCAGTGTGTTCGGGATGTTTATAAAAATGTTTCAGTATCTGCTTTTGCTCCAGAAAATAAATGTTTTTCAGTTGGAAATCAAGTGTTAATATTGAGTGCGTAATAGACACCAAATCACCACACAATGTACCCTTGTGTTAACAGAAAGTAACTCTCCCGTTTTCACTTCCAACTATTTAATTTCTGCCTCCCTGTGGAGTTTAGTCTTCTAATCTACTTTATCTATTTCTTTCTTCTCTGTGGTTTCAGATATCCTAATACTGTATCTCTAAATTCAATCAGACATGAAAAGGAAGTTGCTAAAGCGTCCGAGTTTTATTATTCTCTTTAGCACACTTCTTGGTATTCTTCCTCAAAGAAAAGCAATTACATAAATGGTTGTCGTGACCAGCTACACATAGACGCAATCCATCCGCCTTTATAATTGTAGATTTAATCTCTGCTTTCACAGAGCATTTTCCCACATCATCCTTTAGAGTTGAAATAAACATTTCAGAATAAGACATCTGCCCTGTGCAATTTTCTTGTGAAGTAAGAAAAGTTGTTTACATTGGGCCACTAACCAAAATGCTCTGAGTTTATACTTTATTTTGGAAACTTCTGTCTTCCCTGCATTTCCTGACAGTTTGTTCAGTTTCTTTAATTTTATTGTTATTGTTATAATAACCTTGGCCTTTTGTTCCACTCTCTGTTTAGACACGCCATCCCAGAGGGTACAGTTCATCTTGGGTACAGAGGATGATGACCTGGAGCACGTCCCTCACGACCTCTTCACCGAAATGGATGAGCTGTCCTTTAGAGATGGCACTGCCACTGAGTGGAGAGAGACTGCCAGGTTAGGAGGCAGATGAAAGTGTGAACAGCATAACAACCATATGAAGTTTAAAAAAAACAAAACAGAAGCCCACAGCACAGATCTATTGGCTTTTTAAAGAAAAAAGAAAACCATTAGTTTTCAGTTAGGTAACACCTTCCCTTTTAAATCTAAGGTCTTTTTGACAAATAATCACAGCTATCAGCTTAAGTGGCTTATTTCTCAGTAAAAATCATTGTGAACTTTAGAATTTTTCTACTGTGAAGTACTTTAAATGACAATTGAATAATTCCATAATGCCTTCACAGCATTTTTAATGCCCCCAGAATCTGCAGCAATCCTGAAACATTTCTTTCATTGAACAATCTCAATTTTAATTTGATATTAGAAGAAAACTAAACTAATATCATACATAAACATTTCCAGGGTTGTTTGCTGTGGTTTGAAATAAACTTGGCAAAAAAAAGTAAATAAATTTGGTCGATGATTCCTTTGTTGTTACAATGCTTCTTGGCAACCGCCTGTTTGTTATAAATGGTCCCACATTTGTAAGGAAAATGTATTTATTGGTTGAGCCGCAGAGTTGAGTATGTGGATTGTGCCCATGAAAAACTTGCCGAATCTTCTCTGCCAATGCCAAACGCCCTATTCTACTTTTTGTCTGGATTATTTATTGGATTGAATGATTGACGTCTGAAGAAACAAGACATATTGGCAATTTAACAATTCATTGAACAAACAGGGGCCTCGGTAGCACGTGGAAGAACCATACACTGCCACAATAGCCTGACATCTCCTCATGCTGGTCACCAGCTTAGTCACACACTGCTGTGGGATGGCATCACATTCTTTAACCAGCATTTGTCGCAAGTCAGTGTGGTTGTCCTGGTCAGAGAATAAACTGTTTGGCATTTGGCAAGTTTCTTATGTGTGCAACCCACATACCCAACTCTCAACCTAGATTGTAAGTTGAGCAGATTTATTGACAAAAAGCATTTTTACAACAACGAAATAATCAACCAAATGCAAACTTTTGTGCTAAGTTTACTAATGACGACCTAGCTTCCCTGGCATCTCAAAGACTGACATAATTTGAACTGAAAATTAATTTGCGGTGCTTTAGAAAAAAAATGCATCTTGGCTGACAAGTTGCTGCTCTAAGTGGAGGAGTTTAAGTAGCTTGGGCTCCTGTTCATAAGCGAAGGGAGAAGAGAGTGGGAGATTCGAAGACAGATTGGGCCTGTGGCAGTAATCCTGATGCTGCATTGGTTCATTGTTGTAAGGAAAGGGATCAGAAGAAAGGCAAAGCTCTTGATAGTGACCAAAAGAATGAGATCACTGATACAAGCAGTGGAAATGAGCTATCTCTGAAGGGTGGCTGGCCTCTCTCTTAGAGATGGGGTAAGGAGTTCAGTCATCTGAGAGACTCAGAGTATACCCATCAACCCTCCACATTGAAAGGAGCCAATGAGGTGGCTAGGGCATCTGACGAGGATGCCTCCTGGGCACCTCGTGGGTGAGGTGTTTTCCAGGACACACTGGAAAGACTACATCTCTTGGTTGGCCTGGGAACGTCTACCCCTGTATAAGCTGGAGGAGGTGGCTGGGAAGAGGGAGGTGTGGGCATCCTTGCCTCAGGCTGCTCCCCCCCAAACCTGCTTCCTGATAAGCAGAAGAAAATGGATGGATGGATGGATGGATAGCATCTTGGCTTTGCAAGCCAGCACAGACTCTTACTGAATTGCAATACAGCTTGTATGTGGGTACAAATAAAACATTGTCGTCTTTCTGTACATGTCTGTTTTTTGGCGCTTACCTACAGATGGCTGAAGTTTGAAGAGGATGTGGAAGATGGTGGTGAGAGGTGGAGTAAGCCTTACGTGGCCACATTGTCCTTGCACAGCTTATTTGAACTGCGTAGCTGCATACTTAACGGCACAGTTTTGCTGGATATGAGGGCCAGTAGTATCGAGGAAATCGCAGGTAAATTTACAATAGAGGACTTTTACATATCACTGTTATATTTTTTTTTAGGTAGCATTGCGATTACTATGAAATGCATTAAATTTATTACAATAATAATTACATGTTTAATGGTCTATATATAACCTTCTTTGTGTGTTCTTGTGTGTTTGTGTTTTTGCCGCTGCCACTGTGTGACTCAGACATGGTGATAGACAGCATGGTGGCGTCAGGGCAGCTGAAGGAGGATTTGCGTGACAAGGTGCGGGAAGCAATGCTGAAGAAACACCATCATCAGAATGAGAGAAAGCTCAGCAATCGCATCCCACTTGTGCGCTCCATTGCTGACATAGGCAAGAAACATTCTGACCCACTCTTGCTTGAAAAGAACGGTGAGATCCTACGGCGCACTCACATTTCTTTTTCTCCGATGTTTTCCACCACTGGGGAACTGTTCTTAAAAATCCACTGTTCAAATCCCTCAAAGCCAGCGTAGAAGGTGGATGGTTTAAAGTGAGTAAAATTGTTGAAGCACTCAGTCCCCTTAGTGAAAAAGAAATTTGAGTGCTAATTTATGTGCTAACCCGTATGGCTGGCCTGGCTTTGGGGTTTGAATTAATTGTTTTCACTCCTCAGGGTGTGACATTCAGGAAATAACGCTTTACCTGCAACTGGAGGCAGCATTGTGTGCATCTTTTGTTTTTTGACTAGGCATGGCCACAGTGGTGTTGCACATTTTAGGATCTTGGGTTAGATGCCTGAGGTTTTAACAATGAATGAAATATCCCATTCTCCACTTCTCTGCCTGTGGTTTTTGTTGGGCTTGCATTTTCACATCATTAAAACTGAAATGCAAATGTGAGAGGTCAGAATTCTCTCACGTTGTAGGTTTGTGATGGTAACAGCTGCAGTCTGAAATATGTATGTTTATATGAATGTGTTGTGTAGGACTTATGAGTGGTCTGTGTGTGACAGAGCACATTTCCTCGCAGTGCACCAACATCGCGCTAACTCATCCTCGCCTGCATGCAAGCCTTTCTGAACTCGGAGCTTTGCCTCACTCATAGTGTGTGACCGGCTTATTTGGAGTTGAGTATAACATGTTGTTTGTCCCTTGTAGAGCCTCCCACATGCCTCACTGAATCATTCTTGGCTTCTTCTGCACACAGCCATGCTTTTAGCTCACGTTTATGCAAGCACGAATCTCTAACTACACCTCTGTCACCCTATCGCTGCCCACCCTTTCTTGCTGTCTCCTTCAGATACCATTTCTGTGATGTACTGCAACTTCACATGTTTTTCTTCTGTTCCGTTCCTTATTCCTTGTCCCACCCCATCCCTCCCTCAATCCCCTCTTTCCCCTATTTGCTTTCCCTCTCCTCCTCCCCCCCTCCCTTTTTTTTTTTTTTTTTTTTTTTTTTTTGCCATTGTCTCCTCTGTTAGGAGAGGGCCTGTCCTCTTCACGTCTTTCTCTCCACAAGCCAGGGACAGCATCCTCTGTATCCAACCTGTCCCAGAGACGAGAGTCCAGAGTCTCCGTTCTGCTCAACCACCTGCTGCCCTCTTCTTCTTCCAACACTGGGCTTTTCCCAGGTCCTTCTCCCTTTACCACCCCTCAGGCTTTACGCCGTTCTCAGAGCCCATCACACAGACAGGGCGTAGTCCTCGGCCCACAAGGCATCCCTGAGGTTGTGGTATCTCCTCCAGAGGATGAGGACCCACCAGAAGAAGAGGCGGTATCACCACAGCTCAGCCGGCGAGCATCCTCAGCATCCCAGAGCGTTGAGCTGCTGCCCTTAGAAGGCAAATATCTGTGTAGCCTGCCAGTGTGAGTCACAGCTTGAACAGAGAACACTAGCACTAGCATGAAAGCTCTGCTCACTGTTAACTTCCAACCTTGCGTCCATCTCATAATTAATCCACAGCAAGGCTCACTCACTGAATACTGTGTATATATATCAATAAACGTTTTGACATTACTCACTGATGAAACCTCTGTTTGTTTCCCTTCTGTTCATCTCTTCCACCAGCCTGTTCCTTTCTGCTATCTCTCATCCCTGTTTTGCCCCTTAAACTTTGCTCCACACATTTTCTAAGCATCTATGCCTTGCTTAGCTGAGTCCATCTTCACACCTTCCCCTTGTTGTGTTTGCATAGCTACCCCCAAAATCTTGTGCCGATACTTCGTCATCTGTCTTTTCATGTTTTTGTTTACACATTCTGCTCACCATGACTCACATTTATTAGTTGAAAAACTTGTTTGAAGGGGTTTTGTTATTGGGTTTATTTCACCTTATTAATGAGCAGTTTATCAGCCCAATAGGTCATTCAGTCCATCTTCGTTTTCTGCAGTTCAGAGTTGCACAGCATTAATTACGTAGGCTAGATATGTTTAAAAAAAAAAAAAAATCCAAATGTATTAACAGGGAAAGTGTAACTCTTATCACTGGTGTCACATAAATCTAGTGTGTTCTGTATGATTTCTGTGGAGGTACAGCTGAAAAATGCTGCCTAGTTTTTGTAAGATAAGATAAGATAACCTTTATTAGTCCCACATGTGGGAAATTTGTTTTGTCACAGCAGGAAGTGGACAGTGCAAAAGTTATGCAAAAACCCACTTTAGCCATTCTTAGTGTGGGCATCGTTAACTGGAGCTGCTGGCCTTTATTTTTTGTGCTGTCCTGCTGTTGTCAGTGACTCACAGCACTGTATAAAGAATACATTCCCATCAATTAATTGGGGACTTTTGCACAGTTAGAGCAGCACTTATTGATTGTTGTTTGATGCAAATCTTGCAGAAGCCTTGGGACATTTCTTTTGCTTTTGCAGTGGTGTTTTGGAACTAACAAAACTAGCAATACATCCTAAATCCTTTTAGCTATGAGCATTTGCCCTCAGGCGACTGCTCCTTTGATTTCACTGAAATGTCATTCAACTTGTGCTTTTCCCATTGCATCATTTGGCACCCATTCTCATCATTTGGCATCAGTTCCAAAGATAAACGTTCTTTTACCCGTCTAAGAGTGTAGAGAGAGCAATGTGTGCCAGCAGCGTGGCCAAAAATAAGCCTGTGATTAGAGCTGGTGTGTTGGTACTGTATGTACCATCACACTGGCACCTACTGTGACTTTTTGTTCTTCCCGAACCAAGCGGTTTTAATTTATTATTAGACTCTGTGTGCATGTGTGTACGTACGTCTGTGTTTGTTTCATTCTGGGAATGGCTCCATTTCAAAGTATGGGCTGTTAGAATCTGCATTCAGTTGATGGGAGCTGAATCTGAAAGGTTAAGGAGGTCTTATTATAGCTGACAAGCTTCTGTAATTGTACCCCCTCCTGGGGAAATACATAGAATTCAGAGGAGGCTTTCAGGCCTTTCCACTTTCAAATCATTAAATTTAATAATGTCATCTGGTGTTGGCTGTAGGTTGTAGAAACTGTACCGTTGAGCTAAATGGCTAATACTCTAACAGCTGTATAAGTGTATATGCCATGTCTGGAGGCTATTTGAAGTCTAGCTTACATGTTACAAATACATAGAGTGAAGGTATTGTAGATATTGAGTTGACAAGAGGCTATTTATGTGTAAATGTCATGCACCCATTGAGTGTGCTCGTGTCATGTGTAAAATACCTTTACACGGGCCATTCAGGGACTCACTGCACTCCACTTGTTACACGTTAAAAGAGAGAGTTGTTGTTATTATTACAGTAGTTGCATTTAATACTCCTTCATGCATATAACAAATTATATTATTTTAGATCTGTACATGTATTCCTACAGGTGCTATAAATGTACCCTCTAATCTTCTTTTTGTCTTTTATTGGAATTTCCACCAGTCGGTAATTTCAGACATCTGTGCTACTTTTTTGCCTATGAATGAGGTAGTGCTGTGACACCACTGTTTAAAAGGCTGGTGTGGTGGAGCATTCCAGGGCTTAGCCTTCCTGAATGAGGTGTGCTGGCAGACACAACCTAAACTAATCCCTCCCATATTTCAAGAGGCTTTGTCAGGTATGTGAGCAATCACATTTCTGTTCAGCAGTCCCAGCTACCCAGCATTCACTGGGGTTACTCCAGGGTACAGTTCAAGGGTATGAATCAGTGGCCAGAAATCACTGGCAGAAATGATACGTTTTCACTTTGACTTGTGGTGTATTTTGTTTTTTATGTTTGCTTAATTATTTCATGATGACTTTTATTTTTTTGTGGAAGTGGAAATGAATAAAAACCTGGTAAAAGAATTTCAGAGGACAGTATGCATATGTAGTCCTTCGCTTTATATGCAGTACTCCCTCATTTCATCTCCCTCTCTCATCTCGCATAAAGTGCTAGCGGTTCCTGTATCTGGTATGGCTCAGATCGCATAAAGTGTGCAACCAGTCGTCCACAGAAATGACAGTTTTAACATTTGATCTGCCAGGACATCAAACACTTCCATTCACCTTTAGAGCAAAGCCGACATGAATTCAAGCCAAGCAGGAGTAACTTCAGTGCCAGAGCATGAGCTCAACAGACTGGGAGCATTCAGGAATACTGTAGTGTCAAATATCATCTTCCCTCTGAAGAGCTGTCACATCGTTGCTGCTCTGTATCACATTTAGTGGATTTCGTGGAAGAAATAATTTCACTTGACAGAAAAATAACATAATAAAATAGATTCAACTAATCTTTTATCAGCTCCGACATATGTTTTTTTTTTTTATTTAAACAGTTTATATGAATGCGCATGTAATATAAAGTTTTCATTTGGCGCAGTATGTTGGAGCCAAAAAACTGCAGAACTGATCTGGTTGAACATTTAAAGCAAATTTCCTTAGGCCACTTAGCTAAGAGCACATACAGTGTTTAATTTTCCCTTTAAAACTGAATATAGAAATATGAAGTTGAAACACTTATTTAAACTGTAATACTACATTTTTTTTTAAAAGTGTGATTCGCTTTGTATCAGGTTTGTTTGCATAGAGTGATTAAATTCCACAATTGCGTCACGTTTGTTGAGCCCATGCTGTAAAGTAGAAGTACTCATATCATTATATAATCTTCTTCATAATTAGACAGGCAAATTAATGGCACTTACTTCAATTATTAAAAGTTGTTATTATCATTATTAATCTTATTACTAATCACATGACAGATAGCGTTCATGGCAGACCTCACAGCTGGTCTCCTGCCGTCATTTCCTGCCTTGTACTTACACGTTTTCTACCGCCGCTTTGTCTTTTTCTCTCCTCTTTTGCATCCCAGGACCACTGGTGTCTCAGAACTCCGTCCCAAACAATCTGGATAGCAACAAGGCAATGGATAGGCGGCCATCCAAAGTAGGGGTCAGTAGAGAAAGCAGCAGTGTCGACTTCAGCAAGGTAACCTATCCCCAGTACTGAGCACAGAAACAGTCCGTGGTGGAGGGACCCATGACTGAGCCATCAGTGTTTTTTTTTCTTTTTTTTTTTTCTTTTTTTTCTTCAGTTTCTGGATGTTCAGTCATTTCGATGGCCTCCATTAAAAACAGCCTCTATGAGCGCCAACATCACATACCTGTCAGCCTTTTTCTTCTGGGCTCATTAAAAGGCATTAATCATTGCTCCTCCTGTAATGGATGCAGAATAAGCATCAAAGTAAAAGTTACATAACTGTTTAGTTTTGGAAATCCGTAGCATGGCTCCCATTCATCCTACCATTTTCTAGGTCTGCATCCATTAAGTAAAATGGCAGGTTGCCATAAGCACTTGTCAATATGAAAGCATCCATAACTGCCAAAAAATAAGGTGCTGTGTTTGCATGAGTCACAGGAGATGAAGGCACAGACCCTTTTACACAGAGAGGAACAAAATGTTGCCATGCTCGGGTCTATTTTTATTTAGCGTAGCAGTAAAAGCCATTTATCTGAGGAACATAATAAGAAATGGATAAAATCAATGGACAATCTTTGCTCAGTACTATGTAGTTCTATAGGCTGCTCTCAAATCCCCTTATAATTCATTTATTATCATAGCATCCAACTGACCTGCTGCCATTCCTTTCATTTCCATATCTTCATCTCTTTTCGCATGTGTGTACTTCCACTGGCTCCAAGTCTATTATACCTTTTTAAGCTTTCTTCTGTGTAGATCTGTATGTATGATTTTACTATTTCACTGACTTTAGGTGGACATGAATTTCATGAAAAAGATTCCCCCGGGTGCTGAGGCTTCCAATGTGCTAGTGGGAGAAGTGGACTTCCTGGAGAAGCCCATAATTGCATTTGTTCGACTGTCACCTGCAGTCCTTATCACAGGCCTTACTGAGGTGCCTGTGCCCACAAGGTAAGTTATTAAGAATTGTATCACATAAGGTCTTTTCTTTGCCTAAAGTTTTGTCATTAAAAAAACACACCAAATATGACAAGTTAGTTTTTGTTTTTTTTGTTTTTTTTAAAGCAGACTTTTAAAATAATTTGTTAATGCTGCTATCACATCGACCTACTATAACCTGTGGATTTACCATGGCTGTGATCATACACAACCCTTTGCAATGCCTGGATACAAATCTTGAAACATATAATTGGGCAAAAAATAAGTAGCATGGTGTGCAAAAATGTGGGCAACGCTTAGGTTTTTTTTTTTCTAATCAACACGGGAAGAAGTAAAGCGATCAAAAGAAGAAACAACAAGGCTGATGGCTCAACAAACATAAACATAAACAATGCAAATGTGAAAAGATGAACTAGTAGGGCTGGGCTATATAGCCCCGAAATGATATCATACTTCGCAATAAAGACGTTAATGATGATGTAGAAAAACATACTGAATGTTTTATGGGAGATTGCAGTAAGTAGCAGCTAGTGCAGACAAAATGAAGGGCATTCTTCACCCTTATTTTTGTCACTGGTGTCAGATTGTCTAATTTGAAGTGTGAATCTATTGCTGCAAGGCTCTTGCAGTGCCATTGTAGTGATGCAACATAAGTCAATTGCAAATAAAAAAAAAAAAGTACCCTAGGTTTTTTAGGTGTTTTCGTTGTCTTCTGTTATTTTTATTACTCGTACTTAACTGCTGTGTGGATTTAATTTATTCAACTTATGATAAACCGATTCTTTACTAGGACACTCTATTTTAATCTTGAGTCATATTCTTTCCTAGTTAAATAAAAATAAACTGAAAAAACTTTGACCAGTTTCTTAAAGCCGTGCTCATCCGCTGCTGTGGACTGCAAACAAAAGTTAACCACATCAGTAATTTCTATCCACTGTCTGCTCTGTCTGTCATATGGAGGGCAAATAGCCAGATCCAGCATTGCTCGGTTGAGTCATTTGTTTATGTTTGGGTCGCACCTCACCAGCTGTCGGTATCTCCTCCTCATGTGGCTTCTTAGCTTTGATGCAATCAACAGTGTATTTTTACCTCAAGTGATGAAACAAATTTGCTTCCACCTTTAATTATTTTTCTTGCACATTTTTCAAAGTGTTGCGCTTTGTTGGTGGTGTAATAGCCAAAGTACTTCCATACTTGTAAAGTAGCTCCCTTAGGTGAGGTTAGCTGAGGTTCTGCTCTTGATCTCACATGTCTGGGCTTGTGCTGTTGTTGTGCCCTCTAGGGAGCATAAATACATAGCATGAGATGACACCTTTTTTCTTTTTTTATTTCGGAGCTACAAACCAGCTCCTCAAAAATTTAAGAAAGACTGAATGCAGTTTGTATCACTGTCATCAGTTTAAGTGTATTTAATTAATCTGTTTCTTGTTGAAAGGTTTCTTTTCCTGCTTTTGGGTCCTCACGGCAAAGGACCACAGTACCATGAAATTGGCAGATCCATGGCCACGCTAATGACAGACGAGGTGAGAAGGACACTGCCATTTATTTGAATTTTATCTTATTTTATCTTTTTCAAATGTTAATTGAATTGTGCAACCATTCTCCAAATATATTTCATTTTCTAGATTTTCCACGACGTTGCATACAAGGCCAAAGACCGAACTGATCTACTCTCTGGGATAGATGAGTTCCTTGATCAGGTGACTGTCCTTCCTCCTGGAGAGTGGGATCCCACAATTCGAATTGAGCCACCCAAGAATGTCCCATCTCAGGTAAGTTAGGATCTCTACCACATTTTATATCAGGTGTATCTACTGAATATACATTTAAGTGTCCATTTTCATTTTAAACCTAGCCAAAAATGACATGACTGTAACAAAAAATATAGAGAAAATTGCCTGGGATACACTGATGCATTAATGATTCTAAAACTGGCCATAGGTGTAGATCTCTTTGTTAGTCTTGTGATAGACTGGCAGCCTGTCTAGAGTTCAGCTTGGGTAAACAGTTGGATAAGTCATTAAGAATACAACATCTTTCATACTGTACTTCCATATATACAAGTCTTATAAACAGTAACATGTTGTTTATATGTCACATTTAGCTTTATATCATTATAATCACAGTAAGAGAGGCACCTTAAATGAAGAGAGAGGCCTTAAAAGAATTAAAACATATGGAACATATTGTTTTAAACTGTCCTACCTGCAGATAAAGAGGAAAATACCACTGCAGCCCAATGGCAGTGCACCTCCAGCTGGAGAACTGGAAAAGGAGGAGGACCATCATGCAGGGCCTGAGCTGCAGAGGACTGGGAGGTGAGTATGTAATGGTGACATTATTAAACATCTATCCAGTCAGCTGCTGTTCCCTGTATGGAAGTGACTTGTTCTGTTTATCATCTTGAGTTGCAGGGGTTTGTTTATGGTTCTAGGATGCTCTAAAATGAAATTTCTGTGAATTCAAAGCTATCAACCAAATCATTTTTCTAACAGAGCTTTTATTAAAATTTGAAATGGTATGAAATGTGAAATTTTAGAAGCACGACATTAGTTTGTTTGAGCAGATACATTACTCTGTTAAACTGAAATGTCGACATTTATGGATAACTGATACCACCTATCCACGGGCCACACACTGAGGACAACGTGTTTATTGGCAACCTCAGACTGACACACACTCATGTCTGTTGGAAGGCACTGTATTATTTACAGAGTCACGCTCCCTTTCACTGCAACTATAAAAGGCTTGTGCTATGAGCGAGCTACTCAGGGAAAGCTGAGCGTAAGAAAGTACAAGAAGCTAATGTTAAGGGAAAAAAAATGAAAACACGGGCTCTGTGAAAGAATCAGCAGGGGCTGTGAAGGACAGCAAGAGAGGTTATTTCAGAGGTGTGAGGGAAAGTAAATATAAAAAAGGACCTCACAGGAAGGCTTTTGGATTGGTGTTAGAGAAAAGAGAGGAGACGATATATAAGGTGAGAAATGGATTTGAGAAATAGAAAGGCAAAGGAAAAACAGGCAGAAAGAGGCTGAGTGGTCAGTAAGTAACATCAGACAGCATCTCAGTGAAGCCGGAAACATTAAATTAGTACATTTTAAGAACATCGGTTTACAGCTGACACTGTTACAGTAAGAGTCTTTTCTTTAGTGCTAATAAGCTCTGAACCAGATGGTCACATGATCCACCACAGACACTTAGATACTTAGCTTCATATTAATTGAGTTTTTGTGACAGTAATACTCTTGAAGCTTCCACTCTTCACATTTCCTGATTGAAAATATGTTGAAGTTTGCATTTTTTTTTTCTTACGGTAATTGTAATTACATTACATTCAATTTGAAAATTTCAAGCACTAAAATCTGCTCTGGGAATCTTCTAGAATTTTCGGAGGTCTGGTCCTGGATGTCAAGCGGAAAGCGCCCTTTTACTGGAGCGACATCAGGGACGCTCTCAGTCTGCAGTGTCTCGCTTCTGTCCTTTTCCTTTACTGCGCCTGCATGTCTCCTGTCATCACATTCGGGGGTCTGCTTGGGGAGGCGACAAAAGGCAACATAGTGAGTCATAAAGCTTGGCACTTAAAAGTCAGTATTTGATCGCTTCATGGGTTCCAGTGGGCGTAAAAGCCCTAATCCCTTAGTCGTGTTATAGTCGAACGTTTGGGACTATTGCTACTACATATTGTGATTTTTGCACTGGCACTTCAGATGGGTTCTGTGAGGGTATTGTGAATGACGGAAAGCAAATACCCCAGTTCCACAGAATCCTAAAAATGGCCTGTATTTATATAGCGCTTTACTAGTCCCTAAGGACCCCAAAGCGCTTTACATCCTAAACGCTCCATCGTAAAGTTGTAAAGTGCAAAAATCTGTTCTTTCTACCATCCATAATAGTGTTATCAGTGTTTTCAAATAAGAAATCCATTTCACGGTTTGCACAAGTTTAGCTAAATAATGCAGCACTCTTACACTAGACAATAAGATGGGATCAAATGCACACATGTTACACACAACATGTTTCTGACCTCTTTAAAACACGTGTATGAGCAATCAAAATAAAAAAAATGTTACATAAAATCAAACTATTAATACATTTCACTTCTTTCTTTTTGTTACCATAAAAACTGTTTAGTATAGTGTCTCTTTTTGTGGTTCTCTCTGTTCTCTCTCACTGTCTGCTTTGCTTTCATCCAGATGTCTGTGCTAGGCCAGGGACTGTTGGCACAGACAGTCTGTGTGCTGGTGTGTGTAATGCGTCTAAATAAACTCACACGCTGCACAGAGATATGACTTCGGACAAGTCAGCAGTGTGGGAACATTTGAACAGTTTATCTAGCCTCTCAGACGCAGCCCATAATGTCTGTTTAATCAAAGCTTTATGTTCTGGTCTGTGGTCTCCTCCTCATCTGTTGCTTTTCTCCTTCAGCCTTTCCCTCTGTATCCTCCTTTGTGCAATTTCACCTCCCCAATCCCTCCTTTCTTATTCCCTCACTCCACTCCTCTCCTCTGTCTCTACAGAGCGCCATCGAGTCTCTATTTGGGGCATCACTGACAGGAGTAGCATACTCCCTCTTTGCAGGCCAGCCCCTCACTATTCTTGGCAGCACGGGGCCTGTTTTAGTATTTGAGAAGATCCTCTTTAAGTTCTGCAAGTGAGTTTGAGCAAGTTTGCATTGTAGTAAAAAATGCTCAACAGTGTTTTATGTTGATTCCCATTGTCTAATAGAAATTCTTTGTCTTTCCCAGGGACTATAGCTTGTCCTACCTGTCTCTACGGACCAGCATTGGTCTGTGGACTGCCTTCCTGTGTATCCTCCTCGTGGCCACAGATGCAAGCTCTCTGGTTTGCTACATTACCCGCTTCACAGAGGAAGCTTTTGCAGCATTGATCTGCATCATCTTCATCTACGAAGCTCTAGAGAAGCTCTTTCATCTGGGAGAATTGTACCCTGTCAACATGCATAACAGCTTGGACAACCTTACTCTGTATTCGTAAGTACTGAGATTTAAGTTACATGAATGATTAAAGGTCCATTTGTTTATTATTGTTTGCTCAGTATTATATATTTTGAATTGTTTGCACAGGTTGCATTAAATTTAGCTCTTCAAATTGCTGTCTCTGCAAGAGTGCGTTAACTGATAATGAGAGAGGTTAAAATTTATATTATCTTCTTCTACGACTACTTCAGCTGACTGGTTTACTGGGAAAACTCTAAAGTCTTATTAAATTTTCATTTAATTTCTGATTTGTAACGGGCTTTGACACAACCTCAGAGGGACTTGTCTGCCCCTGGTCTCAAAGTAGGGACTTTCCACATTTTCTATTACAATCTTTAGATTAAATTCCAAAGCATCACATAAAGTAGTTCCTTCTTAAGGAAAATATAATTTTACCTGGCAGATACACTGTAGCATGTACTTAAAGTTTGCTTTAATTGAACCTTAAACATTATTTCTCACAGAAGGCTCAAGGTACAGACTTTGCTTAGTTTTGGATCCTCTGTCCCCAGGTGTCAGTGCTCTCCACCAGCAAATGCTACAGATGAGGTCATGCAGAAGTGGAACCAGTCCGGATATAGTCCAGACTCTATCGAATGGAGCAGCCTCAGTGTTTCAGTAAGACTAGCGCACAGTGACCTCTAGTGTAAAAAACAGAAATTACAAACACAGTTTTAAAATTGGAGAACAAACAGTGAAGCTTAATGTTGACTTCATGCATTGAATCTATGTAGAGCACATGCCATAGCTTCCCCAAGTAGCTTTTATACCTGTGTGTGCGTGTGGTGTGTCTCCATTGCTCTACAATTTTCCCACCTAAACACTTGCTAGCAGTGGAGTTTCTCTCTTCGAGTTGCTCCATTGTCTTCTAGCTGATTTCAAAAATGGCACCAAAAGAAGTAGCCAGAAATGCATGGAAGGAAAAGGTGGTGCTGTTGTACTGTGAAGTTACATCAGTAGGGAGGTGTGTGTCAGGTTAGGGTGTAAGTTACTGCATAAGGTTTCAGAAAGGTTTGCCATTACATACCTACAGCGTAGATTTAACACAGAAGTTCAATTCCACTATAAGCCAATAGTCTACATTATATAATTCACAATTTTAGTCATAAGCACAACCCCCAGCAATACATCTACCTCTGTCATACAGATGATTCATTAAATTACCAATTTTTTATCCTTTTTCTTCTTCTTTAAAGACGTGCAAATTGCTCCATGGAGACTTTGTGGGTCCTGCCTGTGGTCACCATGGGCCGTACATCCCAGATGTTCTCTTTTGGTCTGTTATCCTCTTCTTCACAACCTTCTTTTTGTCATCATTCCTCAAGCAGTTTAAAACAGAAAGATACTTCCCCACCAGGGTGAGATGTTGGGCTTAATTTGTTTATGTATGTTATTTCTTTTGTAAAACGCAGCAAAAAGAAGCTTTTAAAAGACAAAAGAAAGCACGGTTTAATCCCTAATCATGTAAAATGATGTTTAAATAGTACTATTTGAAATATGAAGCATCAGATCTGTAACATCACATGTCATTATATGTTTTGTACACCTGGTGCACGCAAGTGTGGGCAGATTAACCTAAAAGGTTCTGACACTATGTAAATGTTTGTATTGAGTCATTAGTACAGGAGCAGACTCATGTTCAGAAAGAAGAGATCTTGTTGCATCCTCCCACATAGTAACATCTACAGTGTTATCACTCGGTGTAGGCCGGTGTTGGTATTGTGTAAACTGTAAAATGTGCAACAATTACTTTGATGGAGCTGTACCTACAGAAGGAAATGATATGAAGTTAAGCAGCTTCGCTTCTTTGCTTTAGGAATACATTTATAAAGGGTGGCTGAAGGCACATGTGAAATCCCTAAATAAATTAATCTATTTTGTATATGTGTGTGTTACATAGGTGCGATCCACTATTAGTGACTTTGCAGTGTTTATAACCATCATGATTATGGTGCTAGTGGACTACCTAATGGGGATCCCGTCTCCTAAACTGAATGTTCCTGACCGCTTTGAGGTAGGCATATTGTTCATCTGCATTGCTCCATTTATTACTATTGAGTACATTTTTACGGATCGTAGCTATTATCTTCTGTAAGCTTTAAATAAAGTATATAATCTTTAGATGAAGTAAAGGTTTTGTAATTCTATTGTATTTTACTCAAGAGTTTCTTTACAGTGTTAGCAGTCTCTTCTCAGAGATGTAAAAGTACAGATTGTGTGTGCTTAAGGCTTTCATATACAAAAGTTCTTGCTGGAATAGTCTAGATTCTGACCAACACATTACAAGTAATGTGTAAGATAAATATTCTCAGTTAGTTTATACCTTATATACTTAATGTGGCTTGCACTTTTCCCCTCAGCCAACTTCAAAGAACAGAGGCTGGCTAATGGATCCGTTAGGAGAAAACCCTTGGTGGACACTGCTGGTGGCAGTACTTCCTGCCATGCTCTGCACCATCCTCATTTTTATGGATCAGCAGATCACAGCAGTCATCATCAACCGCAAAGAGCACAAGCTGAAGGTCTGACTTTTATCTGAAAGTATTTTGAGAAAGCTTGTGATAGGGTGCCAAGGGAGGAACTGTGGTACTGAATGAAGACGTCCGGAGTGAGGGAAGTATGCTAGGGTACTGCAGCATATGTATGAGTACAGCGAGACAGTGATGAGTTTTGCTGTAGAAGTGACAGAATGGTTCAAGGTGGGGGTGGGATTACATCAGAGATTGGCTCTGAACCCCTTCTTGTTTGCAGTGGTGATGGACAGGTTTGACTGATGAAGTCAGGCAGGTGGAAAGGTAAAGATGTAAGGAGTAGAGTTAGTGAAAGTGGATGAGTTTAAATACTTGGGGTCAGCATCCAAAGGAATGGACAGTGCAAAAAAGAGGTGAAGAAGAGCGTGAACACAAGTGTCAAGGGTGATTTGTGACAGAAGGACAGCAGCAAGAGTGAAATGGAAGGTTTACAAGAGAGAGGAAGAGCAGTGAGAGGGTTTATGGATGTAGAGAAGGAGGACATGCAGAGGGACGGTAGAGAAAGGGTGAGACAGATGATTCAGTGTGGTCACTCCTAAAGGGAGAAGCTGGAGGAAGTATAAAAAGTTTCACAAAATTTATTTTAATATTTTTTTTTTACAGAAAAAGGCAAATAGCTGATTGATCACAGTGAATGAATCTGTCACAAAGATTTTTCTCTTCAGTCTTGAAAGTTTGTGTATGTCCATGCCTCTACTTCTCGTATCTTACAGAAAGGATGTGGCTATCACCTGGACTTGCTCCTCGTGGCAATAATGCTGGGCGTGTGCTCCATTATGGGCTTGCCGTGGTTTGTGGCTGCAACCGTCCTCTCTATTTCCCACGTTAACAGCCTGAAGGTGGAGTCCGGCTGCTCCGCACCGGGAGAACAGCCCAAGTTTTTGGGAATCCGGGAACAGCGAGTCACGGGATTTATGATCTTTGTCCTGATGGGTTGTTCTGTCTTCATGACATCAGTGCTCAAGGTGCGATGGGGTTGTCAGTGAAATAATATTTGCTTCCCCCTGTAAATCACTGTATATAATAATGTCTTTTGATTATTTGACACAAGTTGCGTTAATTCCGTGTAAACTAACTAATGTGTTGTCACCTGGCACAAGTGTGTCATAGATGTTTTCAGCTTTTTGCTTCATGTACCGTAAGTTAAATATTTTCTAATATGTTGTTTGATTTGTGCTTTCGGCAGTTTATTCCAATGCCGGTTCTGTACGGAGTCTTTCTCTACATGGGTGTCTCTTCCCTCAAAGGCATTCAAGTAAGTCTCTCCCCTGCTGTCTTTGAAGATAGTGCTGCCCTTCTATTCAGAACAGAGCAGGAGTCTGGAGCTGTTAGTAAAGATAAGTTTGCCCCCTGCTGTTGCAAACCTTTAATGGTAATTCAGAGTCCTTGGGAGCTTCTCTTATTAAATGTGTTTCCTCCTCTGAATAATCTATTAAGTGATACTTTCATGCATTTGTATTTCTTAACTGTTTCACTGACTCTCTTTACTCTAGTTCTTTGACAGAATCAAACTGTTTGGCATGCCTGCAAAGCACCAGCCTGACCTGATCTACCTGCGCTATGTGCCACTGTGGAAGGTCCATATCTTCACCCTGATACAGCTCAGCTGTTTGGTGCTGCTCTGGGTAATCAAGGTGTCTGCAGCAGCTGTTGTATTCCCCATGATGGTAATGACTCAGCCTTACTTATTTTATCACTTCATTTTTACTGGAGAAGAGTTATAGAAATGTTTTTAATGTCACAGTTATTGATCATTCATCTGTATGTTGTGCCAAATAACAGTATAGCAGAGGGTTTCTTTTATTAGTAGATATGATTTTTATTGTGTCATTCCTTTACTTTATGTTTGGTTTCATCTGTAATTCTAGGTTCTGGCGCTGGTCTTTATCCGAAAGCTTCTAGACTTTTTCTTTACCAAGAGAGAGCTGAGCTGGCTCGATGACTTGATGCCAGAAAGCAAAAAGAAGACTGAGGATGATAAGAAAAAGAAAGCGCGTGAAAAGCTGGTAAAACTCATCTGTTTTCCATAAGTGAACATCACAAGTTTATTTGTAATTTGAATTTGAAAGAAGTTTTTTGCTTTTCTTTGCATTAACAGAAAGTTGGCTGTAGCAGATTTTGTGTCAAAAATGGGGAAGGCGACATTTTACTGGGATCACTGGACAGAAAAAAAAAAATCATTAACTTTTGAGCATGATGTTAATGACAGGAAGCAAGTTCTAAACCATGACTGGAAATGTATCCAATCACAAGCCTTTTCCAATGATAGTAACTAGTATACAGAACTAATAAATAAAAATATTAGTTCTGTATACTCAAGGTTTCAAGGTTTGATAGGATTAAGGATTAAGCAGACAGCCTTGACCCTGAGAGTGGAGTTCAGAGCATCTGTGAAGAGCTCATGCCTGTGCTCCTTCTGTGGAAAGAACTTAAAAGTAAGAGGAAAGAGCTGGAGGGTAACAGCTGACTATTTTCAATATCTACTTGAAGGTCACAACCACTTCTGCTTCCAAATGATACAAAATTAAAACTGCTCCTCAGTTACAAAAATTTACTAAATGAGATTTTGTTTTCTTTCTACTGTACTTCAAGACATGCACTGAAATGACAAAAATGTAGTTATCCTTTGTTTTTCTTCCTAATTTGCATTTAAACAGTAATACTGCAAAATCTCTAAATGCTCCATCTGTCTTTGTTGTAAACAACAGCTTTCCAGATCGTGTAAATCCTTCTGAAGCTCCGATTGGAAGACAGTTTAATTATACTACAATTTGAGTGGGTGCCTTAACAGTGGATCGAATCAAATTGCAAATTAAATTGCTATATAATTGTGGCAACTAGGCAAAATCAAATGGGTATATTGGTCTTGCAAGCATGGCTGTTATGGAAGAAGAGAGTTTTGAATCAAGTACTTTCAGTACTACACAGCCACCACAGAGACCAAAACCCAATATAATATAAGCCCGGGCCAATAAGCCAGATGTTAAAGCTGATTTAAATATGAATAAAACTGTGAGACTCAATTGTTGGAGGATGAACCTCACTGCAGTAATAACTAGTTTTTAAACTATAGATGCATTTGAATCTAGGATGAAGAGTCCGGACTGGAGGAAGAAGAAGAGATGGGGATTAAGGACACTTATGAAGACTCAAACCGGCTCAAGATCCCAGTGAAGGAACTCTCAGGGAGGTGAGTAATGCACTCTATAAAGCATCCTTTAAATGTCAGATTGTGGGATGGAGAGCTGAATCTTCTGTAAATTTTCACTTGGGAGTGAAGTGTATTCATGTTAGTGACTGTAAATCTCACATACTACTATAATATTTTTATCTTATGGCCTCATGGCTAAATATATTTTAAAAAAATTTGATCCAGATAAATAAAGATTTCACTAATTTCGTATGTCTTGATTTCTGCTGTGTCTAAACTTAAAAAATATGTTTTTATCTACAGCTTGAAATGACAATTTAAAGACTGGTCATCAGCTGTGTGTTATGTCCATCTTAACAGATCATACAGAATAGAAGTAGTGACCCACAGCGTCCCATTGTAAGAAGAGGTAGCATGGCTGTGTGTACAATGACGATGATAATAACAATAATAATAATAATAATAATAATCTCTGACCCACATTGCTGCATATTAATAATGATAATAATAATAATGGATTGCATTTATTATTTATTTATTATTTGTTTTAAGGTAAAAAGGTCTATGATAGAATGATTGCCTTATCTAATAATATGCATACAGTCAACTCTCAGGATAACCCTTTACCTAAAACGCAAACAGCTCTTAATACATGTTAACACAGAAGTTTGTTTGTGGTCTGTCTGGTCAGCCATTCTGTGTTGTTAACTTGGTTTAATCTCTAATATATGCATGTTTGCGTCTGCCTCTTATGCACTGATCCTGTCCTGCTGTCTTGATGTCTACATGCCTGTCTTCTCTTTTTGTTTCTGTTTGTGTGTGTGTGTGTGTGTGTGTGTGTGTTTTCATTTTGGCATGTAGTTCTGACACTGACCCCTTGGTTGTAAATATCTCTGATGAGATGGCCAAAACCGCAGTGTGGAAAGCAGTGAACTCGAGTGCAGAGTCTTGTGTCCAACCTGTGAAGCTTAGCGGAAGGTAGCTATGCCATCTCCTGGAGTTTTCCAGAGCCCCGTCACCCAACTCTGTTACTTCAATATGATATGCTCGCTAAAAACAAGAGGGACTGCTTGATAGTGCTATCTTAACGTACGCTGTAGTCAGAAACTGAAGCTAGTTACTGCCTGGAAGTCCACAGCGATTGCAGTTTTGAGTGTCGGGAATCCGTTTAATCCTGTAAAAGAAAAGATAATAGTTCCTGTTCCTTTTAGATCCCATAGCTGTTAACCTGACTTGAGTTGACAGGAATATATTTGCAGCAAAATGGCATTCCTCAATAACAGTTTGACATAGTTTGCACAGTAATGCATGTCAAACTCTGATTCGGTTTCCTTGGAAAGGCAAAGGGTAGGAAACACTTAGAAATAATTACTATTTATCACCTGGTTCCATCGGACTGGATTCTGATTGGTCCCACATTCAGACTGCACCCTGTTTCATTTATCCTAAACATACTTGCTGTCATGATGTGTATCTCCTAAAGTCACAAAGATTTTTACAATTTGTTTTAGGTATCTTGAAAAACTGAGTAGGTGTGTTGATGCAAAGAGGAAAAACACAGTACTGTGCAAAGGTCTTGTGCTACCCTTATTTCCTTATTTCAAGGAGACAGACTTCCTTGTTATTTTTTGAAGTGGAATTGAACAATAGTTTTGCAGACTTTCCAAAGGAATTTCAATGTTTGTATTTTTTGCTGCTTTCAGTCCAGTCCTCGTATCTGCATTCTTTTCATAAGAATGTTTCTTTTGTTGTTTGTTTGTTTGTTTGTTTTAATCCATTTATCACTAATCTATGAATCACCAAAGCATAAAAAAGGTACCTAATTGAAGAGATGAACCAGTGTTGTGTTGATGTGAATCAATTTTGAGCTTTATAGTTAGGTTCTTTGTCACCGACAGTCTATTACATAAACACATAATTTGCTTTCATTCATTTATTTAGTTCATTTTGAAAAAGAACCCAAAGATTATCACAGTTTGACATTTGTTGGTTGGTTTCCAAATGCTTTTCTACATCTATTTCCCATCTTACTACCAAAATATGCAAAAATATGTGGTGGTTGAAGACTTTTGCATTGCACTGTAAACAGCTTTTTTGAGTTACGTGTATATTAATTTCACTAGATTTATCCATCCATCCATAGATGTCTTTAGATTTGGGCACAAATCTAAGTTTCAAACATCTAGGGACAAAGACAATCAGACACAGAATAAAGACAGGTAGCCTCCCAAGATTTATCCACTGTCTTCTTGCCTTGAATAGAAGTCCTTACCCTGTGGGCCACTTCCTTGTTTTTTTGTGTTGTTTAGTTTTGATTTTTAAAAACAGATCCTAACTTGAAGTTCGGTCTCTAAAACCTTTGCACAGTGCTTTGTGTTGACAAATCTTTTGCCACAGTTCTCTCATTAAGTCCCATCCTTACCAAGTTGTACTAAAGCTGGTAAAGTCTTGTAAGTGTTTGTAATTAAGACCTATCACTCCTCTACCTGATAGAAATCACACATTTGTAGTTGCTCACAACCCTTAACACCTCCATGAATCTGCCTACACACTCATTTTCTCTCTATTTGTTAATCCCTGAACAGCCAGGAAAAGGTGGCCTGCGTTAGAGTCGACGTCAGCCCAGACACACCTGGAAGAGACTCCACTACCGAGACGTTCCTGTAATAAATTGTGCAGAACTCCTTTTGTCCTCAATACCTTCTCCTTCACAACACTTTTACCACACCGATGGACGCAATCTTAGAAGGAAAGGGGACACACTGAACTGGAGCAGCACAACCTCTCTGCAGAGCTCCTTCAGGGCAGCAGATGAGCTCCCTTAAGGATGCGAGTCTTTCTTCAACACACGTCTTGAAGTCCTTCATGTACAGAATGTGTACGAATGGTTGCCAAGATATGTACTATAAAGGATAAAACTCCAAGAAACAAAGGAATTCTGCTGTAACTGCCCACCGATGTTCACTGTTCAGAAATTCTCTCTGTCTAGCAGCCATTTATTACTCATTTGAAGCACAGACACCAAAGGAAGGGGCCTCACTGGTGGGGGTGTTCAACTGTGTGAATTTTACTTTTAAACCATCAAAACTTTTATTTATATTTATATTTTACTTTTGTTATTTTAGCTGTTCATTTTACTCTACTTTTTCTTTCTTGTTAGCGTACTCTGTTTCTATATATTTAAGGTGGAACTGAGACCTTTCACTAAAGTACACCAGCTTTGAAACCTTTTTGATTAAAGCCATTCAGGTACTGTCAGCTCCAGATAATTCTATTTTATATTTAGTCTGGCACAATAAATGACACAAACCAAAACAGACAGAGGTACATTCAGATACTACTACTGCACCACACTAATATTACTGCGTACATCTTTGTCAGATTTGCTCATGAATAATCTCTCCTGTCTCTAGGGGAACACTCAGTATTGATACTGCTGCTCAAAATTAGTTTTTACTGTAAAGCCTCACTGTTCATAGTGTATGTGATCTTACTGAAATATCACGCGTATGTGTACTGTGTTCTTTTCGTTTGTAATATTGTAGAAATCTACTTCAGAGGCCATACGAAGTCTGTACTGTATCGTAAGCACTTTGCCAGTATAGTTTCTTACCTAAGATGAATTATGGTGTGTTAATAAAAAGGTTACTCCTCCTCCCTCTGTATTTATACATCAGTCATTCAAATTTTAATTATAGAACTCAGGAATCTTGAGTGATTTCTGACTGTTGTCATTTGATATTTTAACCCTCTGGCCACTGTGTTTCTCTCATGGCTGTCATCACAACTATTTTACCTAATGCTGTAAATCACGACATATACAAAGGTGCGAAGAAATGAGAGAATATTTGTGACCCCCAGATAGCAGCACCTGTTTTTATACTGTCTATATTATTGTATTATTATTACTGTATGCGTGGGTGTGTGAGTACGAGCGAGCGTGTGGTATAAAGATAATTTGTTTAGCGTTGCAAATCATAAATCATTTTATGCAAAATATTTCTACTGTATATGTAAAAGAATATATTATATTCTAGGAATTCTTATTTTGCTGACAGCAGTCCTGTTTTAGCAATAAGTGTTCCATACTGTGCAATGGACGGACTCCTGAACTTGGCTAATATTCAGGCAAGGAATTATTCATCAAACAACTTCTGTGTATGTTTAATCTGCTCTGTCTGTGTGTAGCTACAGTGACTATACGGACAATAGCTTATGTGCCTTGTTGAAGCTCTTTGTGTCTAGTACTGATAGTTTAGGTGTTCAGAAGAGAGGTACGGGCATACGCGGTGGCACCCAAAGACGGATCGTAGAGTGAACGAGGACACGGCTCTCCCTGTCGTAGTGTAATGCCATGTCTGTGTGAAGGTTGTAGCCTGAGCCATTGACTCAAAACAGTGTAGTTCAATTTATTCTTCCATTTAAAAATGTAACTAAATACTGTTTGTCAGTGTGTTTGTGTGTTCTACTATCACAGCTAGTGTTTGCTCACAACATAAAAGCTCTGTAATCAATTTTGAGGTACTGTTTCTTTTCTAAGTGATTAGTGTGTGTCAAAGTGTTGTGCCGTCAACATCCAGAAAGAAGTGACATCTATGTTAATTTATATATTTGATTAGTGGGAAAAATGATTCATGTGTGGTTATTTCACTACATATGTGGACGTTAAAATGAAATGTAAAATGTTGTCATTAGTATCATCAGAGACAGTTAACGTCCACCAACCAGCTAAGAATTTACGATTCCTGTTGTTTATCTTGTTTTTCCACATTATGAGGTTCGATTTAAGATGCATGAATCTGGATAAACGATCAATAATGTGAAGGAGTTTCTGGCCTCTATTGTCACACCAACAACACAGAGTAGAAAATGCATTTGTTTTGTACAGACATCAGTGAAGCACACAGCGTCCAGTTGTTAACTTGAACGATGACTCTTCTGTCATGGCTGATTGTTGAAAAGCAATAAAAAGGAATACAAGGTGATTTTTCTTCTGTCTTCATTTAAAAAAAAAAAAATACAGATTTTTTTCATTAGTTTAGGATTTACGGGTCGCATTTTACCTTATGTTGTATTGATAAATAACTTTCAGTCAACATGATTTAAAACCCAGAACTGTGAAGTGCACTCACTAGGAGCTATATTAGGTACATCTGTTAGCAGTCACTTATTTCTCATTTAAACCATAGTTAGGACAAGTTTTAAATGAAGGAAAAACTGTGACTTTTCTGCACAACCATCTCTGAGGTTTACAGAGAATAATCTGAAAAAGAGAAAATATTGTTTGAGTGAAAATGTTCAGTTGATACCAGAGGTCAGAGGAGGCAGACTGCTTCAAGGTGACAAGAAGGCAAAAAGCAACTCCTCGTTACAGCCGGGGTATACAGAATCTTTGAATGAACAGCAGGTAAACCTTGAAACAGAGGCCATAGTAGATGAGGGTCCACGATGAGTGTCACTCCTGTCAGCTGAAAACAGTAAACTGAGACAACATTTCACACAGGCTCACCAAATTGTCGATTTCTGCTGCCACACTCGGTTAGTAGGATCAAAATTTGGCACAAACAACATCAAAGCATGGATCCATAATGCTTTGTATTAATGGTTTAAGCTGCTGCTGGTGGTATAATGGTGTAGTGGATATTGTTTCGCACACTTTTGTACCAACTGAGCATTAAATGACAAAGCTTGTTACTGACCAGTTTTGCCCCCGTTTTGACCAGAATGCCTCCATCCAGCAGGAAAAGGCGTCACAGTGCTCAAACGAGCTCAAACTGCTTTCTCGAGCATCAACACAAGTCTTTTTTTTTTAGTTTTTGAAGACAACCGGATGTTTTTCATTCTGAAGACAAAAGGTGGCAGCAGAGATCTGTTATAAACCACTGCAGACAAATACAGCAGGCACTTCTTCAGTTTTATAGTTCACACAGCAGTGGGTTCACCACTTAATTGGTCAATTAAACCTCTTCTGGGGACTAATAAGCTCCTTTTTCTCCACTTAGTTTCTAGGAGCCCGTTAAAATACAAATAAAATGCATTTTTGTTTTCTTGCAAGCTATAAATTCATGTGCAAGGTCAGCATAAAGAGAGGTGCAATCCGGAATAGGTGGAGATATGTGGATATGCATATTTATTATGGTCTAATAATTTGGTTTGACTAAAACTTGGCCTTATGTGACATTTCAGCTGTGCATGTTCTCCTTCATGGTAAAGTACAAGTCAACATGAATACACTCTATATGCATCTGTGCCCGCTGAATGAAGGAGGACGCGCAATAAGCCTGTTTTTAATGTTACAAAGAAAGAAAAGAGACACGGAGGAAAGAGGTTAAACCTCTTGAAGATGTGTCATTGAACAGCACAAGAACTGAGCAAAGGACAGTTTGACAATATGTTTGACAAGGGAAGGGCAAATGTGTATTATTAGTTCAGGACTTTATTTTTAATCATGTTTTTTCATGAGTGTGCATCAGCTTTAATGTCTTACGCAAGAAACCATGTCATGGAAAAGATTTCAGATACTTCACTTTGAAGTACTGCCAGAAATGAAATCACAGTCCCAGCAGTTTATTCGGGTTATTAAATGAATGGTTACAGTCATTTTAATTCTACTGATTGAGCATTATATTTGAGCAGCATGTGCCCAGCACTGTTTCAGGCCCATGCATCCGGACCAGAGCTTGCACAGCAGACGCTACAATAAATCATTCCAGTAAGTATTCACTTCAAGTTTTCTCTTTATCAAAAAAAAAAAAAAAGGATCTTCCGGCTACAAAATGTATTGCAATTTGTAGCCCAGTGAAAAATAAATTCAGGATATGCTTCTCATAAGAGCAGAAATCCTGCTCAGCGCGAACAATTCAGTCATTATTTGTGTTCCTGTGTTGACCTGGTAGAAACGAATAACCACGTGATTAAATTACAATAAAAAGGATTTTAATAAACGTTAGAATTGGTCATTTTCAGAAAATCCAGAGACGCACAGCAATCAAAAAACAGTGAGATTTTTTTTATTGTCTTCTCAACAGCCAGAACTTCAGTCAAAATAATAATTTCTTCTGTCATTCAGTAATCTGAGACTGTCTGAAAGCATCGTTTCTCCTTAAAAAACAAACAAACAAGAAAATCACACGTTACCAGCCAGCATCACTGGGTTTCACTTAAACACAGTACAAATGTGTTTCATAAAGTCTTGGGCCAAAATAACTCATGTATTACAGGCGCTACATGATTCACTATTAATCACTGAAATTCAGCTTTTACACTAACGTGGCTCTTTTAAAATGTCTTATTGTAATATAACGACAATTACAAATAATTCATTACAATTCGAGCAAAACAACTATTTCAACAATGGCTTCTTACAAAGAAAAAATAAAGATTTAGGTGCCAAAAACGCAGCAGTTAATTGTCGTCCCTATGTTTACATGCCGTCGATAGCAATCAATTCATACACCGTGAACAAACTTCTCGTTGGTTAGTTTAAAATATTTGTCTTTGTGCAGACAAACAAAACAACTTGACGTAAAATTGCCGTTTTTTCCTTTTTTAAATCGGCCTGCTGTGGTTCTGCTCAAAGTTTCATGTAGACTATTGGGAAACTGTAACACTGCATTGTAAAAGAAAGAGTTTCCCTAACCTGGAGAGATATTCACCCTCCTCTTAAAGAAAATGCTTCGGTGGGGAACTGTGGCAGCACATAGTGCTTGTGGTTCAGTTAGCGCCGTTTGGTGGCCCCTCTGGGATGAGTGACATGAAAAAGGTTATGATGAATGA